ATATTATATTTATATTTATATATATATATATATATATTTATATATTAATATATTTATCAATACGTTTGTGGTTTCTTCAATAAATCATACACACATTGGATCGTACATCTTATGTTTTGGCTCACATTTGTTCGATTATCCTGTTTCGTCTTTGCACAAGCTAATTCATTTTATGTGTCTATAAATTAAGATTTCAACGTTTTCACACCATATTATAAGACGGCAATATATTTAATCTTTAATTAAGTAGTGTCACAGAATAGAAATTCCAACGAAGGTAAAACTTTTGTTATCAAATAGACGCTGTATATTCTTTCTTCGACATTGATTCACGTCATTTGTTCTTTTTAACACATTGAACAGTGTTAATAAGACTAACAAATATATGTCTATTGACACGCGCATTATAATTTTTAAATTTCCTCGAAAAAGTCGAGTCAAAATGACGCGTTTTTTTTCACGCACGACGATTTTCTTCGAAATTATTCGTCATATTTTGTTCGCAGAAATTCATCATTAAAAAAAAAAAAAAAAGAACATCGTTTACATATTGGCAAACTTTTGTGAAGTCTTACATCTTATTTTCGCTGTAACATCTTGCTGTGTTAAAACAGTGCGAACTATACCAGTTGCTTCAGTAAGATACTTTTTTAATAAAATTTACGTGCGGATCGGAATTAAATAATAAACAAAATTAATTACGAGAGTACAAATCAAATAAATTTTTGCGAACAAGTCGGGCTTACCTCGCGTCAACGTTAAATTTTGCTTTCTCGTTCTTCGAAATTTCGAAATTCAACCGCGCTTAACTGTATTATCTTGAGCAATACTTTGTGAAAAGAGCGTCGGACACTACGAACGGACTTTCCATTTCTTCTTTGGGGCAAAAAAATATCGCGCAATTCCGGCAATTAAGTGTTAGTAAATCCGCTCGCGGGCCGAAACTTCTTCGACCATCGATATGAAAAGTGCGAGGCGATGCAATCGCGTAAATACATTTTCGTGCCGTGCTGATGGTAAGCAGTAACGCGCGTTGCAACAATCGCGGTACGTATTTTCTGTCAGATGCAATTTTGCCACATGCAACAAGTGATGCAACGCGTATGTATGTATACAGTTTTCGAGGACTTTGTTACAATTTACCTTTTGACGTGACACTATTGTTCGAAATATCTGTCAAATTTTGAATTCTTACTTTTGATCGCGCACAAACTCCGAAAAGTGTCTGTGTAAAAATTCTCTTCTATAGTGTTGACCTTGCAACATTGAATTTCTGCGATAAATTTGTAATAAATCAAATTGATAATTATTGGCACTTACGTAACCAAAAGTACGAAAACTTGTTCGTCATCCATAATTTTTGCGGTATCTCTCTATGATTATGTATTATTTTTTTAACCTCGATGATATCCTCAGTTTAAGAAAAAAAAAACATTGATTACGGTGAAAGACGACGAAAAATTATCGTTAAACTTGATAAGATTGGCAAAATCGTACGTATGAATATATATATATATTTTTTCACATTTTGATTACGCTCTGAGAACTGCGCCGAATGAAAAGAAGAGAGAAACGAAAACATTTCTCGCTAGATTCCCGAATACCATCTAAGGCTAAGAAGTTTCGTTTCTCAGCGCACTTCGCTTCAATATACAGTGCAAGTATAAAGACCGTACGTCACTTTGTCGTATTCAAAATTGCTCGAACTTGCATAAGTTACTATAATTTGAAAAAAATTGAAAAAAAATCAGGAACATTCACCGAAATAATTATATTCTCGTAAGTAGAAGATTTTATACTTAAAAAATCTTAAAGATTTTAGATGATATTCTTCTGAAATTAAGAATATGTTCTTTATTTAAGAATATATTCTTTATTTAAGAATATAGTCTTTTTCGATAGTGAGATATATATATATTTTTCTATATAGAGGCTTGTTATATTCTAATCAGTATATATTCTTATCAATATTACTATTTAGAGGATTTTCCTCTTAAAATAAGAAACTCTTCTTGGCGCCTATTTTAGTATAAAATATACTAAAATATACTTAAAGTAAGTGGGATATCCTCAAAACAAGAATACAATTTTTTCGGTGTTGATTCGCAAAAACCGTGTATTCTCCTTCTCTTTGTCATCTTTTTGGAATTTGCCGAAGAAAATTCTTCCGGAAAGATTCTTATTTTCCAGCGCTACGCGTATGTATCGGATGTATGTTCACAAATATATATATATGAGAAATCCCATTGACGAAATTTCCTCTGTTCGAGAACTCATTATCAAACGTTTTTTTAAGTGGTACACGAGAAATCGGCCAGTGTGCAAGTTTCACAATTAGAGATCCGCGCAACACGTTAAGTACGTTATAAAACGTTTTGCTTTTAACATCATTTATTTTTTTTTTATATTGCATTTTTAATGCAATCAATTCGCCATAGACGATAAATCACACGAAGATTCACGAGGAAAATTTCTCGATATATGTTACGCTCGATTGTTACTAACGTTACATTGCTAATTTCTCCACCACGTGCTCAAAGTGCACAGAAATGAATACATCTAGGTCACGTCACGTTTTTTTTTTTTAATTTTATTTTCAATACTTTCTCTTTAACTTTTCAAAGATCAAAGGTTTCCGAAAATATTGAAGAATTTTTACCTCCGACATTTGCTCAATTTCCTTTTAATTAAACTGTATAATTTTCTTTTTCTTTTTTTTTTTTTTTTTTTTAGCAATTCTCCTTTGGCAAACCTTACTACAAAAACGAAGAATATTGGTGGGATAATGTAAAATATGTTAAAACGTGCAAAGTAAGTCGACGAAAAGACAATCGGTGTGTAATCGTGATGTGATTGCGCGCAATGAAAAATGTAGCAAGTTTCGCGTGCATATCCGATAACATTGATATCTGATTCGTGCGTTATAAGACATAGGTTTATAAGCGCCGTCAATATCTTATCGTAATTATTGCTATTAATGTCTTCAGTATTTTGCTTATTCTTTAATATAAAGTGTGAGAACTTCTTTATTTTTTAAGAGTATTTGAGAATATGTGTGTCACGCTTTTTCTATTTTAATTATAATATTTGTATAATATTTAAATCATTTTAAATTACTACATCATCAAATTAAACGATATTAACAAAGAAACGTTAACGTATTGTTAAGTACAAATGCGAAAAAAAAAAGCGCGTACGGATCATTCTCTCAAGTTCCAATGTAATTGGAAATTCAAATATTTCTAACAAACAGAATAAAATCAATTTGGATTAAAAGATTTGTCGAAAAAAAAAAATTACATTATAGTGCGATACGCGAAAATAAAAATAGTCAATTTCTCTATTTATGTTCAGGAGCAACATTTCATATAATCAAATTTTTCACGTGTACCGCAACGTTACTCAACCGTGTTCTTGGAGACCACATTCTTCGCCGATGTCAAATGAGAAAAAAATGCATATTTACTTACGTAATGTCACACATAATCCAACTCCGTCCTCGGCGTTCGTTGATTTTTGTTGGCGATGTTCTCGTCGGCGTCGTTGGACTTTTCTGAAGTGCGTGCACAGCTGGGTTCATTAACTGACCGGTAAAATGTCCCTCTTTATGTAACTCACAACAAGCTCTTCGAGAAAGAGAGTGGGAAGAGCGACAAAAGAGACCAAACAAGTTTTTCTATCTCTGTTAATTAAGTGTAATTTATTTTACGCGATTTGATTTTTTTTTTTTGCGCGTGCGCGATTTGTAAGACAAACTTAATTCTTCCGGCAATTCGCACAAATGATGATGAATTTTTTTTTAAATCAAAATTACCGAATTTGAATTGAGAATATTTAACTTGTTTGTGAGTATTTAATTGCCACCGTCAATTTTTGCGCCAAACTTTCTATTTTTCTCGCGGCACTTGTCGCGACGGCCTTGCTAGGTCGCGAGATACATTCAACAGCGATTGAGCAAAGTATTTATTCGCAATTCCCTGATCCGAGAAGGATATCGCTATGATAGTTTTTTTTCTTTAATCAAGATTAATAACCGAGAATTCACAGAGTTTATCTTTTATTTCTTGTTTCTTCAACGAAAAGAGCGTATCTTTTCAATGCAACCGGTATCAATCACAATAAAAAAAAAAAGTTGCGATTGCTCACTCGGCTCGTGAAGATCACTTGTTGCGTTCTCGCGAACAAATTCGAGTAAGTCGCCGCGAATCTTCTTTTTAATTCACAAGTCGTCAATATATACGGAGGAACAGATAAAAAGAGAGAAAGAAAGAGAAACAAAGACAGAAACAGATAGAGAGAGAGAGAGAGAGAAAAAAAAAGAGAGAGAGAGGGAAAGAGAGAGAGAGAAGAGAAAGAGAGAGAGAGAGAGAGAAGAGATTATTTGACCAGGAAAGACAAAACAAAGATAAAAGAAGATGAAAAAAAAAATTAAAGAAAAAAGAAGCAAGAAAGAAGGCGAAAGATCGGAGGAGAAGAATAAGGTGACCCGATAAACTGAACGTTTGGATGTACACGCGCGGTCCACGATCTGTCGAATAGCGAGTGAGGAGATAGTACGATGTAGTGCTGCCGCTAGTACAGACCACACCAGGTGGCCACCAGATACCCACCAAGTATCCCATCGAAAGCCGGTGGTAGGGAAAACGCATTGAATGTAAGCTTGGACTCTGGATAGTGTGTGTGTGTGCGAATTGTCGCTGACACTCCACCGATTTCTCATATTCACATTAATTAACGATTTATTTAGGTACTTGACATTTTTTTTTTTTTGTCCCAGTTACAGAGACCAGTAATGTTAATCTAAAATTTAAAAAAGAAACTATCCGTTCTCTGATATATAATTCAGAGTGGTTGACAAAGTGATCAAAATTAATTTACATCACGTAAGAACTAGCTCGGTGATGATGAAAGTACACAATTCGTTACATGTTATTTTCCGTAAAATTAGATTTACGAGCAAATACGAGGGCAGAAGATTTCTTTGTTCACGTGCTACTTGTCGCGCTTAACGCGACGTATGCTCTTTAACGATTAGATTAATTAGCGTGAAAACCAATTAAGCTTAACTAGTTTATTATGCTTTTTACTCAAATAAATCTCTCTGTTGCGCATGTAAAAAAAAAAAAATGAAGAAATTTGAATAGTTTTTTTTTTTTTTGCGTGACGCAGATTAGATAGATCTGCAACATGCGCACGTTTTGTCTATCACCGATTGATTGTTGAGTTGCTTCGTCTTTGGCGATTAATCTTGATGCTATTTTCCGCGTACAACAACGGATCTAAAAAGTATTGGCACACACCCATATTTTTTAAAATATCTTTATACAGTGAAGTAATATATTAATACAAAATATGCCCATTAATGTCTTATAATATACAAAAAAAAAACAGTATAATTTTCAAGAATTCTTAATATTGCGATTAAAAAAAGGTAAAAAAAAAAACAAACCTTTTATATTCAAAAAACTAAGTTTGAATATTCAAAAAATATTCAAAAAAAAAACAGTATAATTTTCAAGAATTCTTAATATTGCGATTAAAAAAAAGGTAAAAAAAAAACAAACCTTTTATATTCAAAAAACTGAGTTTGAATATTCAAAAAATATTCAAAAAAAAAAAACAGTATAATTTTCAAGAATTCTTAATATTGCGATTAAAAAAAGGTAAAAAAAAAACAAACCTTTTATATTCAAAAAACTAAGTTTGAATATTCAAAAAATATTCAAAAAAAAAAAACAGTATAATTTTCAAGAATTCTTAACATTGCGATTAAAAAAAGGTAAAAAAAAAACAAACCTTTTATATTCAAAAAACTAAGTAATATTCAAAAAATATTCAAAAAAGTATTAGCACGTTTTACATAGGAAATACACAATTCTCTTGAAAAGTTTTAATTACGAAACAAGTTTTTAATCTCGCACTCTGTGGTACATTTACTCGCGCGACACATCGATGTGCATTCAAGCATTCATAATTCCTTCGATAAATGCTAAATTACCAACTCTATTATAGAGACACACAACCTCGAACCATTATGTGCATTATTATTAAAATGTGAGTGTGCCAATGCTTTTTGAAGTCCACTGTTCACATTTTTTTTCTACACTCAATGTACGACGCAAACACAATTACGGATATCATTTCTTTATTTTCATTAATTCTCTCTCTCTCTCTCTCTCTCTCTCTCTCTCTCTCTCTCTCTCTCTCTCTCTCTTTCGCGTTATTTCTATTCTCACAGTAAAAAATTAATCGAGCATCTCCGCTGTGACACTTGTACAACAAATTTCTACGGAGCAATGAAGGCTGCTATATAAAAGCTGCAAAAATGAGAAATATAGATATAAAAATATATATATTTACGCTCTTTGTATTTCTGATCTCGAAAAGCAAAACGATTTACGGTTTTCAAAAGAATTAAAACACTTATCGTGCATTTTTTTTCGCGAGTGACTCGTCGATTCTACGATATAAAAGGACCGTTGAACGAAAACCGCAAGAATGCAGTTGGAGGCAGACGAGGCTGCTTTCTGGAAAGAGAAGTTCCGTTGTTATTGCATCAAATATTGTGTTTAAGGATTGGAAAATTATAATTTATCGCGATTGCGTTCGAAAAACATAAAACGAACAAGAGAGAAGGGAAGGTTCGTATCGATGTAGCAATATGTCGTGTCGATACGACGTCAATCGGTTGACACCGGTCGTTTTAACTGGGAAAAAAAGTATTATTATATTTAGATTGAACGCGTAAAACTCTTATATACGCATATAATGTTATACAAGTCACCTTACAACACGCTACAAAGAAAGAGTTAAAGGTGAACTTCAAAAGCAAAAACATATGACGAAGGACGTCACGTTATCGGCATTATGCATATTTGTGCGTAGCAGTTATAGCAATGCACCAACCATTGAAGACTGATTACGTCTCATTCCAATAATCTGCGTGATAAAAAACAAAATAAGTTCATTAAATTACGTAGATCGAGAATCGTTCCCTCGAGCGGCATTTTTTCTATGGAAACAAGTTAGCAATGCGCTTTTTTTTTTTCTAAACACTCTGATGTGTGTGTGTGTGTGTGTGTATTTTATATAACGTTTAATATGACGTTTACGAATTCTTATTAGAATGACGTTTGTGTCGTTCGAGAATGTCTATAATGCAAATTGATGAAAAATCAATTTGTGAAAAAAAAAAAAAAAACATGGAATATTATTTTTGTGATTGATTCTCGCTTGCGTGCCTTATTTCGTAAACATACCTCGCAGGCCTGTTTTGAAATTTCTAAATATTATGCGTACGCACACGTTATCTTCTTTTTATGCAAAATGTGTAACATAATAACTGCGCAATCTTTTCAACGAAATTTTCGTTATAAATTACAGAATAAGCTATCGCCAATCGGTGTTTTTTTAAATTATTACGAAACACAAACAAGTTTACGCGCAAAACTCATGCGTGACAAACCGTAGATATCGCTTGAGCAATACACATGCACACGTTATATATATATACGATATATACGATATATATATATATATATATATATATATATATAATATCTATGTGTACACACACACACACACACACACACACACGAACATCTAACTGCTAAACCGATTGAGTTTAATTGATAATTGAGAAAGTAAAAGATGAAAAGATCCGATAGCGTTCTTGTGTCAAAAGTTTTAGAATTGTCAAATTTTTAAGATTTGATTTGATACATTTATGGCTTTGGGATTTCTTTTTATTGTTAGTTTATACACACCATTCTAAATATATGTGTAGTTTTGGTTTTGTATGCAATGTGCTACCATACGGTACACGGCTGTCTTTTACAATTAATATACGCACTTGTGTTAGGTTCGCGCTCATGGTGAAATGATTAAAACTGTTTTTGAGAGATTTAAGTCGAGATTTCGCTCGAATTGATTATTGGAAATCTGATTCATCGATATTCATCGACTTTGAAACAAATCTTCGAATTCGGAACCTCTCTGCTTGCAGTTCCCGCACTTAGGCCGCGAGATCATTGGGTCGGTCAAAATGTTTGAGAAGATAGTCGGTCACTCCCTACGTGTAATTACATAAGTGTCACATACGGGATTTTCAGTTTATTGCACAGTGACACGTAGAAAGTCATGTTCTTTATGGTCACCAAATATTAAAACAAAAATATTCATAAGTAAGATAAAAAAATTGAAAACCGAAAGATCTCTTAACTAGGGAAACTATATATGAAGCTTTAAAAAACTTTTAAACTGCTCTCCTTTAAAATTTGCGTTTTCGAGTTACGGGATTAGTTACGTAGGGAGTGTGACGATATTACCCGGGAAAAAATGGATTTGATCTAACTTAAATTTAGCGAGATAAAAAAAATGGAAAAATAGATCTAATTAGATCCAAATTAAATCTAAATAGATATAAAGTAGATCTAAATAAATATAAAGTAGATCCAAATAAATATAAGAAGATCTATTAACCCATTTGCATCACAAAGAAAAGTAAAAAATTCGTTCTTATCGCCAAAATTTTTTTTACTGTATTTAAATTTTAATGAAAATGTTACAAAATATGAAAAATAAAATCAATATTGCGTAAATAAAGAATTTTTACTTCATTATAGATTCACAAAAATAAACGGAATGGAATCTAATTATAGAAAAAAAAAGTGCGTGAGAGGCCCCACCGCTGGGGACAATAATATGCGCTTTGGTGATAAATGCCTAAGTAAAATGCGCGCATATATGCGCTCTGGTGATAGTGGCCAGGCAAAATGCGCACATATATGCGCTTATGATGCAAATGGGTTAAATTTACACCTTTCTATATTATTAAATCTACTTTAGATCTACTCAAATCTACTATAATTAAAACTACTCAGATTTAGGTAGATTTGAGCAGATCTGAACAGATCTGAGGTGATCTAATGTAATAGATCTGAGTAGATCAAGAGTAGATCAAATAATAAATAAAAGTGTAAATTTCCATAGATTTACTTATATCCATTTAGATTTATTTTATATTTATTTAGATCTATACTTTACATCTATTTAGATTTAATTTAGATCTAATTAGATCTATTTTTCCATTTTTTTTGATCTCGTTAGATTTAAATTAGATCTAATCCATTTTTTCTCGGGTAGACATATATAATCCGAGAGAAAACCTAAGAGCGGGGCTATCTTATTGTTTAGTTTCTTACGATTTCAGCCGCTGATTTTAGCGCTACATCCACAAAAGTGGATCTCAAAGCTCGTTTCACATTAAACGCAAGTCGCAGGTCTCGTGGAACTGATCAGTCACGTTGATCGATTGACTCTGATTTGACTCTGCGATTGATCAATTCCACGAGATCTGCGACTCGCGTTTAATGTACAACGACTTTTGAGATTCACTTTTGTGGACATGGCGCTAAAACTAGCTGCTGAAACTGTCGTAAGAAACTACAATAAAATGGCCGCTCTCAGATCTTCTCTCTGATAATATATAAACCGCGATAGATATCTGCGCTCTCTTTCTCTGTGGATAAAAAATGTGCAATACTTAGAAAAAAACAAAAAAAACTTTGGATCGTTATTCTATTTCATTTGGTAACGCAATTATTGGCGGATAAAAAAAAGTAATGGGAATAATAAATATAATAGCATAGAGAGGCAATATAGAAAAAAATTAATAATAATAGCCGGCCGATACGTAACGTTTTACCGAGTTATCTACTCGCATTTAATAGACAGAAACGTGTCATTAAGAGAAAAACATAAACGAGAATATTTCTCTGGCATTTGTCTCTTTCTAAAGATTAACTTACTTATTTATCTACATTCACAGTCTATTATTATTATAGAAAGGAAATTTAAGAGCGGCCGCAACATTTTTAATGTTATCACTTTTCCGCCCCTGTTCGTTAGCGCTGTGTCCATGGTAGTGGCACATTGACGTAGTAATTACGTAGTAGTGTTTACGAGCGATTTGTGGATGCGTACGCTATGTTGTACGGTGTTACACGCACATCTGTGGCACATCTGTGGTATTCATAGTTAAATTTTGTATTTGTTAATATAAATCTTGTAATAATAGCGGGGAAGTGGCACAATCCGAGAAAATAAAACCAGAAATATTCGGTTCAAATAACTTCTTTAACACTAGATATACCAGCTATTTAAATATACCTATTAAAAAATACAAAAAATATATTTGTTACGAATATATATAAAGTAACATTAACACATTGTTGACCGGTCACGAGTTAACTCGTGTTTTTATGGCCGAACGTTGCTGACCGGTCACGAGTTAACTCGTGATGCGTTTTTTTTTTTCGCATCGCTGTTGTTTTCTCTGTTGGCGACCATACAGTGCAATTGTTGGTCAGTATAACACGTAGGTGATTGTTATACTGCTTATCATACGAAAAAGAAATATTAAAAGTTGAATAATAAATAAAATTTATTAAAGTTTANTTTTATTGTTTTACTTCCACTTCCAATTACGAAATAATAGCCGGTGACATGAGATAAATTTTCAGTAAAATTGCCGGTCAACAATGTGTTAAGTTCGTAAAATGTATTCTTTACTTATAGCTACAAAAGTCATAACATCATTTCGGAAAGCAAATGTTACATGCAGTAGAAATTTTGAATTGAAATTGCACGACCGGTCAAAATGACTGGTCTGGTAAATCTAGTGTTAATTTATATTTGATATAAGTTTCGACCCGTGATTAGGTTCTTCCTCAGTATTAGGATGATGGGTAGTAGTAATAGAAAGAACTCAGGTCCGTCGTCGGTTTTTACATCGTCGCCAAACTCGCGATTTTAAAGAAGTTATTTGAACCGAAGACCCTCGGTTTTATTTCCTCGGATTGCCACTCCCTACTGTTATTATAATTTCAAGAGGAAGCGCGTATACAGACAAATCTTGTACATATAAATCTAAATTAAATATATAAATTATAAAAAAGAGACAAAAGAAATAAGAGAATTAAAAATAGAAGCCATACAAAGAGAGCGGTGAAATACGAAGAAGAGACGCGGCAGTTACAAAAGAAGATTGTGGTAGCGGAGAGAAGACTGAGAGCGGTCATCCTAGTTTTTTACGACGGTTTAAGTCGCTGGTTTTAGCGGTATATCCACAAAAGTGAATCTCAAAGCCCGTTCCGCATTAAACAAGCAAGTTGCAGGTCTCGTGGAACTGATCGATCACGTTGATCGATTGGCTGATTTGACTCCGCGATTGGTCAATTCCGCGAGATCTTTGACTTGCGTTTGATGTACAACGACTTTTGAGATCCACTTTTGTGGACATGGCGCTAAAACCAGCGGCTGAAACCGTCGTAAGAAACTACAACAGGATGACCGCTCTCAGGTGGTAGAACGCACGAAAGAAATAGAGAGAGAGAGAGAGAGAGAGAGAGAGAGAGGGAAGAAGAGGAAAGGGAAGCACAAGAGTGGAAAAAGTGGAAAAAAGAAGTGATTCGAGACGCGGGTACTGGCAAGGAAGAGCTAAAAAAGAGAACAAAGAGAGAGAGAGGGAGAAAAGACGAAGGAGATAGTGCAGGAAATAGTAGAAAAAATAAAAAAGAAAGATAAGGAAGAAAGAAAAAAGAAAATTGAGGAATCGATGACAGTTACAAAAACGTACTAACAGGAGAACTAGCAAAGGACTATTTGAGAGGAAAGAAGAGTAAAAAGGATAGGACCATGATAGCAAGGTACAGATGCGGGAATGAAATGAAAGAGAATCAATATTGGCTGAAAGAAGAGGAAAGAAGGTGTAGAGTATGCGGAAAAGGAAATAGAAGATATGACACACGTGCACGTAAAAAAATGTAAGAAGACTAGAGACGGAATATCGGAAAAAAAGTTCATAAAAGAAGACGGAAAAGGTGAAGTAAATGAAGAAAATAGACGGAACACTAGGAAGAAAAAGAAAAACGAGGAAGGGAAAGAAACTGAAAGAACAAGGAAAAAAACATTGAAAGAAACATTGAAAGAAACTTTATTAGACGTCTATTAGACGTTGACAGCTCCATGCGACATCTAATAGATGTCTAATGGATGTCTGTGTGGGATACCAAAGAAATAAAGTAATGCTAATGTTGATAATGCTAATGTTGAATAATTAATACACACACACATACTATTTATATGTATATTTAAAGTATTCGAATGATTAAGTGTTTAAGTATTAAAATATTTAAAACCTTTGAAGAATTTAGAGGATATAAAATTGTCATTAAAAGTGTTAAATATAATTAGTAAGATAAACTGTATAATTAATTGTAAGATAAACCGGAAGTCATCCAAAGCCGAAAAGCATAAATTAAGAATAAATATATATATATGATCTTATATAAGAT